AGAGTCTTTAGAAAAATCCCTGGCAAATCCCATCATTCTGTTCTGACCTGTCCACTAGTCCCACATAGTGTCTGTTGTTGTTTTAGGGAAAATGCACAACTTTCATTTGTCGCCCCACCAATCCTTTACCATTTCATTTTGTTTCTTTTTACTTTATATTTTTCTTCATCACCCTGACGTCATTGTTTCTTCAATTTATTTACTACTTATTCCCTAGACTATCATCTTTAACACATTCAAGAGAATGCTAAGGTCAACCTTGAAAAGCTCTGGTCTTATACGATCACAATCTCTGTGACACTACCTCAGCATCATCCTTAGAACTACTCTTCACTGCCCCCCCACTTTTCAGTTCTGTCTGTTTTCCAAAGAGCTTACATCTTGTAAGCACAGTTAACTCATTTCCCTAATTTGTTCTATCCTCATTTTAAAAAAAAATGCAGCTGCACTATGTCCAGTAAACCAGTTTGAGTTGTTTGTAATTTTGTTTTTATGTCCCCCTAATGCAAAATTGAGATATGATGACTATCATAGTTAACTCTATCAGCTTGACATGTAGTCATGTGGGAAGAGAAAATATTGACTGAAAATTGTTCCCATCAGACTGACCTGTGAGCACGTCTTTAGAGGCATTTTCTTGATTGCTACTTGAGGCAATAGGGTCCAGCATACTGTACTCAGAACCATCCCTTTGTCGTTGGGCCAGAAATTTTAAATAGGGGTTGCTGAATGTAGGCCTGGTTGCTATCTTTTTTTTTTAATTTATAAAGCTGATTGGCCCATTAGGTCTAGCCTCTTACTGGCTAAATCTCACATCTTGATTAAACCATTTTTCTGATCTATTTTAGCCATGGGGCTCAGTACCTTTTTCATTGGGGCAGATCACATCCTCCTGCTTTGGTGATCTGGGCAGGAGTGGGAGGAATCACCTTCCTCTTCCCCAGAATTTTGCTCTCCTTCCAACATTTCCACTTCCTGTCTTGTTTTCCCACCTACACCTCCTGCCTGGCCAATCAGCGTTTATTTAAAACATGATTGACAGAATACAGACAATTCTCCCACATCATTTTCTCCTCTTTTTTTAAAAAAAAAAAAAACAAAGAAAAATATCCATAGTTCATTTTTTGGGAATGTGGGCGTGGAATTCCAGGCTACTTCAAGCTGGTTGGGGGCGCTGATAATCTTAGTGGAAGCCTGATGTGTTTGGATGCTCACCTTTATAGACCTGAATGAAGGGGGGAGGACCTTGGACTTCCCACAGGGCAGGGAACCCTGACTGCTCTTAGGACTAGAGAGGGAGGGGAAGGTAGGGAGGGGGAGGAAGGGAGAGGGAGGGAAAAGGGAGGCGGGGAGGAGCTGGTTGCTATCTTGTAAGTGTATTCCTCGATGAATTCTACTTCAGTTCTTGAAAGTTTTTCATACCCCAGTATTGGGTTTCCCCATTGATGCAGTAAGTCAGATCATGTTGAATTAAAAGACCAGGTTTAATGAGCAAAGCACCCCCAGGTGATTCTAGGGGGAAGAAACATGGAGAGAAACCATGCTGTAAGTCTAGGGGTTGCCTCTTAAACACCCTGTAGGCATGATTTTGAGCATCAACAGAGGAGGAGCCACCACTGGACAGGTTTTCTGAAGGTGGGGTTGGGAATAGGTCCAGACCTGGAGGTTACCAACAGTTTTTGTCTGCAGGACTTGAGTTTCTTCTATGGCTTCTCTCAATGATGTACTGCAAACTATAAGCCAAATAAACCCTTTCCTTCCCATGTTGGTTTTGGTCAGTGTTTTGCTACCAAAAAAAACCAAAAAACAAAAAAAAAAACCAAAATAAAACAAAACCAACAACAACAACAACAACAAATAAAACTAGGGTCCTGAAAGACATGCTTTAGAAGTGTATGTTTGCACTATTATTTATTTACTTCCTATGAAAGAGAGGCTTTGGTGAGTCTAGGTACTTTTTATTTTTCTAACTGTATGCCTTCCTTGATTTTTAAGACACTATCCCTCTAACCAGGCCTGGAGGCACATGCCTTTAATTGTAGCACTTGGGAAGCAGAGGAGTACAGATCTCTGAGTTCAAGGATAGTTTTGTGTACAGAGTGAGATTCAGGGCAGACAAAGCTATATAGAAAATCACTGTTTTGATAAACAAACTAAAAGAAAAAGGACAGAGAAAACAGAATAATAACAAAAAGGCTTGATCCAGACATCAGTTTCCAAGTTTATATACATAAAAGTATATAAAGCATTTGCAATAGTCATAACTTCTTAACTCTTAAATTTATAATTCCCAGAAGAATAATTGTGTAAGTTCCCAATATGTTTTGCTCCATCATCCTGGCCACTTTCTTAGACAACTGCACATCTCTGAACAGAAAGATACAAGGCCTGTGTATGATTAATCTTTGTTGATTGCTTCCTGTGGCTCTAACATTCTCTCCACAGTAGCCAGCTTGACCCAGCTCCTCCACTGACCAATGCTTCTGAAAGGCTTTGCTCCAGTTCTCCAAATGGCTGTTCATGCTCGCCCATACTTCTTTATGCTTACATACAAGAAGTGACTAATGTGGACTTAGTCATAGGCTACACAAATAGGTGAAGCCTTTCAGTAGGTACTGTGCTCTTATCCTTCTCCTTATGACAATTGCTTGCAGTTTGACCTCTCAACCTAAAGGAGAATATCTGTCAACTGAAGGTAACAGAGTAGGGACAGGCCCTCAAACCCTCTGTTATGGATTTTACAGAATAAACAAGGTTAACAACATTTGACCCGTTGTAATAGTTTGAGCCTTTCTTAAAAAGTTGTAGGGTTATTCACAACTATTTAAATTATTTTCTCATAAATCTGATTTTATCTTTATATATAAGCATATTATTTTTAAATTTATCCCATATTTTTCCTAAATGAACTCCAAATATTACATGGATGCCTGAAACCAAATCTAAGTCTTACACTGAAACATATGAGCAAATTTTAAATACTATACACTATTATTGAGTGAAAAATACCAGTCTAATTTGAATACAATTTAATCTGTATTCACTACAACTCTATTAGAATACCCTATTGTCCATTTACCCAGTGCATGCTCTCCTATTAAGAAATGCTTAAATTTTACCTTTCAATCTGTGTGCATGTGTATGTGTTGGAACAATCTCTCTGTCTGTCTGTCTTCCTCTCTCTCTCTCTCTCTCTCTCTCTCTCTCTCTCTCTCTCTCTCATATATATATATGAGGGGGGGGGCGGAGAATGATGCTAGAGAACAAACACATGGCCTTGGAGACATTAGGTTCCTGTGCTGACTGGTTTTATTTCAACCTGATACAAGCTACAGTCATCTGAGAGGAGGGAATTTCAACTAAAAAATAAATGTTCCATAAGATTGGGTTATATGCAAACATGTAAGGCATCTTCTTAATTAGTGATTGATCGGGGAACGACCAGCCCATTGTGGGTAGGTTCATTTATGGGCTGGTGGTCCTGGGTTCTATAAGAAAGCTCACTGAGCAAACCCTGAGGAAAAAGTCAGTAAGCAGCATTTCTTCAAGGACTGTGCTTCAGTTTCTGCCTCCAGGTTCTTTCTCTGTTTGACTTCTTGTCCCGGCTTCCTTCAGTGAGAGACTATGACGTGGAAGTATAAAACAAATAAACCTTTTCCTTCCCAAGTTGCTTTTTGGTTATGTTGTTTCATTGCAGCAACAGAAACTTCTACCCCTAAACTGTTTGCTCTTAGCACCCAAATACATTGGTACTTTTTTTTTTCTTTTGTAGTATTGTCATTTATCAATTCTCAAAATTCTGAGTAGACAAGTATATTATCAGCTATTTTCAGGAAAAATGGATTTTCCATCTTTGAATCCATAGCATAAATCCTCTGGCCAAATAATAATGTATCCAAGTAAATCTGTCCCAAGTCATGTCATGATGGTCATGTAGGTACTGTTGAAGAATTGGGAAACCATGACAGGGTATTGTGTTACTTCTCAGACACTATCTAATGCATGAAAAAGGAAAAAAAATTAAATTTACCAGCATTTGTACATTAAGGATGTGTGCTTACATCTTTTAGTAATAAATTTACTGATAGTTATACTTGGGTAAGAAGGAAATGAAATGTGAGAAAGAGGAAGACACAGGATCTAAGATAACACCGGATGCAAGACGCATCAGTGTTTGTATATTGCTAAGGGACCAAAGTACCAATGAGAATAACACAGACGGCTGCTGTTTTAACTGCAGTCACTAGCCATCAATTCTAGAAAACATTCTTAATTCATGTATGCTAAATTTTTTTCAGGTAGAACCATAAATTAGGAGTAAATATAGCAAGAAAAATCAATATCCACTGAATTCATTAGCACTTTAGGAGAGATTGCCAACAAAATATTAAAAATAGTAAAAGGAAAATAGCAAATTTTGTAAGTACAAACAACTACAAAAGCCATGTCAAAAGGAGCATGAAGGAAGTTTTACAATCCAGAAGCAGAAGCAGCCCTGTTGTCTGTCAGGTTTCAAAGCAGAGCATCAGTTCTATAATACAGATATTTCATTCATAAAGACGTGGTGCATCATATCAGGATAGATAGTTAAGAAGAATGACATTTAATTTCATTGTTAAATGACTATCAAGTTTTCCCTGTTTGGAGTGACGATAAAGCTGAAATTCTAGTCATTAGCTGTTGTTCTGATGCTGCATGGCCTCCCAAGCTCACGGTCTGGAACATTTGTGCACCATATTTGATGTGATAAAGCCCGCAGTCGTACACACAAACAGAATTCTTAACTCTTTTCAGAACAGACTGTGTGCACCTACAATGGAGTCAAGCCTGCCAAAGCAATGTGCTCTAACTGAACAACTAAAGTTGGCAGAAACGTTTGCTGTAGCTTTGCTCCTGAGCAGCGTGGCTCAGGGTGCTGATGCTAAAGCCGTATACACCTTAAGCTCTCCGGTTCACAGTCCGACCATTCATTCTTGATTTCAAAACATTTTCCTTTGCAGATCAGCAGTCGTGCGATCCTGGTGAATTTCTCTGCCATGACCACGTGACTTGTGTCTCTCAGAGCTGGCTGTGCGATGGGGACCCTGACTGCCCTGACGAGTCCGATGAGTCTTTAGCCACCTGTGAGTAGGAAGGCTCCTTGCTTTTGCGTGTGCTCCCGTGTGAAATCAAATGTCAGTTGCTTCCACAGATCACTGCTGTTCCAGCTGGTTCTATTTTTATGTCCTTTAAAGCAGAACCTGACAAATCTGAAATCTTTTGTTTCCCTTTTCTTCGAAATGAGTGTGTGAATGGGAGATGAAGCCCAGTTGTAGAGTTAGAAGCAACTTACTGTAACTGTGCTGATACTGGGAAATTTACTTGCTTAGCAACACAGAACCTTCCTCCCGTTTGTCACACGTACTTTGAGAGACAGGAAATGGATCATTAAGGAAATTCACCCCCAGCTTTCCCATCACTTACATTAATTTTTATAACTCTGGGGATTACTGAACATATTTTCTTTAGCACCTAGAAGACAATCTTATCAGTGAGAGTCTTAACCTTTATAAAATGAGACGGGGATGCCCTTGGTGTCTGGGGGTTCTAATCTCAGTTGAAGCATTGTTACGAAAAATCCTCTGAGGATTTTACCACACTGGACATGTCAGTATACCATGAATGCTCATCTGTTCTTCAGTGGGAACCAGACACTAATTTCAATATCAATATTTTTTAGAACCCACACCCTCAGTCTGTGGTCCTCATGTGTCCAGATCTGCCAGTATATCAATATTGTCCACAAGACAATCACACAGTTCTGTAAAGTCAAAATGAAGAAAAAAAAACCACATTACTGTTGTTGATTGATAATGTGGTGATAAAACCATAAAATGGAAACCAATGGTTTTAACTATGCACTTACTCATGTTGCAAATAGAACTAATGCATTAGTTATTAAAATATTGCCAGTAAAAATGAAATCAGTGCTCTTTTATATTCTTTGGGTTTGCAAGCCCTATTAAAGTTTTTCAGCATGGATGAAAAAGATTGTGTATATGTGAGTGGCTAGTCTTTACTTTAAACCCACCTTCACAGGGAGAGGTTGTACTTATTTAATAAAATTCTCATTTTTACCAATTTTACATCTAATTATAAAATTTTTCATTGGGGTCCTTATAGAACATATACCAGATTCTTGGTGTGATAGATTTAAAATAAGAAAATAGGAATGTTATAATGAATTAAAAGTTCTGCTAATCCCTACAAATGTATTAATGTGAGTTGAAATAAACTGCTCACCTATGATACAACACAAGTGAACCTTAAAATATTATATAAATGGGAAGACACGAGCCATAAAGGAGCATTAATTTTATAACACCAATCATTGAAGGACCCCATATAGACATTTCCAACTGGGATTTTTTAATCTAGACTTTTACAGTTAACACAGTGCTTCCCAATGTTTTTCGTGAAGTTCCTATGAGTTATCCCTGATCTCCATAACATAGTTTTACAATACTATAACTCCATGAATGTGAGCATTCAGTGTGAAAGATGACACACTCAGGATGGAAAGCTGTGAAGACTGATTCCTTATGCATACAGAGACATGCTATTGTCTGTGATAAGATCATAAAGCACATTGTTTCATGAAATTTAAATGACACTATATGATGCAATGTGTTTTCCCCTAAATCGACTTAGCCTTTACAAGGAGAAGAGTGAGTGAGAATTTATGATGAAATATGGAATCTCTGAAGTGAAAATTCCATCAGGAATCAGATACTGCTGAATAAAAGTAAGATATTGGCCTGATAACTGAAATGCTTTGAAAACAAATGCACAGAGGACAAATAAGAAGTTAAATGAAATCAAGATATAAAGGGAGTTTAAATGAACCCATGATTTGATTGATTCCTCTCTTTGCTTTCTTTGGGAATATTTTCTCATATCCATTTGGATGGAGTTAAATATCCAGTACCAACTACTAACTTAAAAAGCTTGCATGAGTTCTATTTGCCACTTGGTGGATTTCATTTTGGATGGATTTGACTAATATTTGGGAATTTAACATTTTTGTTGGGTACAAGGTCAAATTCTTCACCACGGAGATGAAAGTCTTCCTGTGTGTAATTTGAAATGTGTCTTCGAGTATCTAAACAATGATTAGAACCACCTTTAGTTCCTATGAGGTGAGGAGAATGGGAAATCAGGAGACTCTCCAGCTTTGTATTCGTAGCTTTCAACTCCCTGTTGTCAATTGTAGCATGCAGCTAGAATGAACGTAAACATGGGAAAGGTTTCTTTGTGAAATGCAAGCTTGGCACCATCTGTGGCGAGGAAGTCGTCCTGAAAGGCACATTCTTCGGAGATATTCAAATCTTAATTCCTTCCCAGAATTACTCTGTTCAATGCTTAATGATTCTCCCTTTCCAACAATCAACTCCAGCTGGTGTGCGATTCTTTCTGGGGAGCTGAAGTTATCATAAATAACCTCATTTCTTTTTTCAGCCAGGAAAGTATTAACTCTGCTACTTGTCCTACATTCCTACTGCTTTATTAACATTCAGAAAATCCCTTAAAGAGTTCTTTGACTATAGAGACCAGAGTTTGTTTATATTGCCATTTTAGTGAGCAAAGTAGCAGAGTACAAAAATGGCCCCAGTGAATGTAGATTTGCAACCTGGATAGTTGTGATGATTTGTGCATTGACTGTTTTGTTCTTGTGTAGGTAAGTAAGGCTTTTGTGTAAAGGATTCCAATAGTCACTGCTTACATTTTAGAGGCTTCCTGGGTCTCCACCATGTATTATCCTTTCTGTTTGTTTGTTGTTTGTTTGTTTAAACTATCTGCCAGCTTTCCCTGTGGTAAAAAATTACAGTTAAAAATAATCAAAAGGAAAAGAAGGATAAAGTAGGCCAAAGATCAGATTTTGTTAGCAAGTTACGTTTTGCCCTATAAATGTCAAGCTATGATTTCTGGAACATGCCAGATCTACAGTTGTGCTTGCAGGTCTGTGGTGATGTGGGGATGGCTCACACACACAAAGCAAGTAAATATTGCATAGACTTGTGTATGAACGCGTGGATCCAGCCTGAAGCAACATAGCACGGTCTGCAAATTCTGCATTCCTTCTATATACGCAAAGCTGTTTGTCAGGACTGAACCTGAGTACATGCTATAAAATTGGTGGTTTACCTAGCAGCTTACTTTTCGCAAGTAAAATATATATTACAAAGATGGACAAATAGGGGCAATGGGAAATTAATCTGATCATTCCAGTATGAACTGCATTTCTTGATTTTGTGTCCTGCCATGCTTGGGTTGCGGTTGTCAGTCTTACCTTCACGGGCTGGCTGCTCCATCTTCTCTAACTGACAGCTGCATTCCAGACACAAAGAAGAGAAAAAGGCAAGAAAACAGGCAAATGCCTGTTCACTCACTCTGTCGGGAGGAGGGCTTCTATTGAGATTAAATGCAATAGGTCTCTGCTTAGAACTTCTGTGCTTGAACTGATCATATGGGTCATGGGGCAACAAATATTCTCCACAGAGGCTATTTTCTGGGTGAGATGTGATGTACAGGTAATTGTCTCAATTCTTTTTGCTCTTGATTTGATAAAATACCTACACAAAAGCCATTTCCTCTCTCCCATCTATATAGTCCAGGATATCAGTCAGGGACTGATTCCAACTACTCTTTGTAGATCTTCCCCTCTCAATAACCATAATCGAGATAATCCCCCATAGACTTTATCTGGTTTCGTTAAAAGCACTTGCTACTCTTGTTACTCTTGGAAAAGGCACAGGTTCAGTCCTCAGCATCACATAGAAATTTGCAATCCTCAAAGCTCTTACCGCATCTCCAGAGCATCTGACACCCTCCTCTGGTCTCTGGGACCATTGCACATTGCACACACGGCCCATACATACATGCATACATGCAAGCAAACCCTCATATATATAGATACAGATATAGATATAGATATAGATATAGTCATCTCCATAATAGTCTTCAGAGGCCCATCTTCTCACTGATTCTCAATTCTGTCAAATTACAACTCTAAATGCCATAGTAGTAGTAAAGGTAAAAGGAAAGATGTTGAGTGGCAAAGCCCGCTGGTCGCATGGCCCATGGTATACTTCGCTGTCCCTCTGCCCACCTTCTGCCTATGACATCTCATGGTATTACTGTATTTGATAGCGGCTGCCGGCCCAGCTCAAAATCCCAGTTACTTATAAATGCTTTTGCTATTCTGCCTCTAACATATTTTACTTCCCAGAAATGAGAATAACGGCCGCAAATTCAAGTGCTGCATATTAACTATCAAGGTCTCTTCTCCACCTTGCACCCCACCTGTTTTTCTGGTTCCAAGAACACTGTGGGTCACTTTTCCTTGAAAGCCTTTGATAGGACATTATTTCCCCATCTGGCCCAATCTTTTGTGTCTACTTGAAACATAATTGAAAAAGTAAGCTTTATAGTTAGCGATGTGTCCGGGAAGAGGCATAACCTATTGCATAAAGTCATCTGAGTTGAGTTTGGAACAATTTTTATGACTAGATTTATGACACTTGTATATTAGAAAAACTCTGACGTAGAAATTTTCCTGGGTTGGGTAACTTTTTTTAGCTATTGCTCAACAAAACACTATGCAGACTATTTATTCAGAATTAAATATAATGTTATAAGTATATTCATGTAAAGCTATTGATTAGCATCACTAATTGATGCAAAAGTCATCAGTGCCTATCTTGTTATCTGATTTTATGAAAGTCAGGACACTGAAGTTTTGCTCTGTCTTGTAGCCATCCACATAGGCTGAGTAGTAAAGGCACAGCTGTGTTTCTTTGAAAATGCCCCTTTTCACCAAAAAATACTGAGGGGAAGAAAGAATCATTTCCTAAGAATACCCCTCAAGCCACCTAATTGTAAAGTGTAACATCATTAGAGGTTCATGGAAAGTCATCTCCGTAAAACTGTTTCGTGTGGCTTTGGGAGTGATCTTATCTAATTGAACAATGTAGTAAAAATAGCAACTCTCCCGGGTCCTAGGATCAGAAGCACTTCCAAAAGATGAACATGTCTGTTCGTCATCGAGTTAGATGTGCCTCTGCATGAAGTGACCATCATTTCT